TTTTTCTGTGGAGCAGACGCTGTTGTTTACACAGATGAGTTCATCGAGGGGGTGTCTCCACCTCTTAATACTCTCAGATATTGTCATGCATGAAAGAAAGAAAACATAAATATCTGAAGAAATAGAAAAGGGTTCTTCAGCCAGGTGTTTCTGATTGCTGGTTTCCACTTTAAAATAATTGGATTTCAGCTGAACGTGCTGGAGTTCAACCCTCAGCAAAAACAAAGTGAAGGGGTATATAGATTTATATGTTTATATGTTTTTTTCAATGACTACTCCATCAAGAACCCAAATGGGGGGGGGGAACGACTCACTGAAGATGAACATAACTTCAGGAAAAACCTAACAGAATGGAATACTGTTAGCAATTACTTATCTTAAAGGATGACACATGTATCAGCTCCACAGAGTTAACCCTGTGTTCATTCACAGGCAAGAAATAGTTATTTTGTTTTATTTTAAAAAATGTATGGCCTGCCCTTCATCTGCACAAATACCAGGGAGGCATAATAACACAATAAATAAATAAAATATTATAACCCACAACAATAAAACACCTCAGCAAGACAGTGGAAGCAACTAAAACCAAAGAAACTACTACTGTGCTGAAGGCGAACTAATTCCCCTCTCTATTTTCTGAGGAAGGCATGAAAGGAATGATTTTTCGGTGTGCGTGCGCGCACGTGGTTTTGCCTTCCTTACAATTGTTATGAGGTGGCTCATGATATTGAGTATCGTCTACTCTTGCTTTTAGCCATTAATTTATTTATTTATCCATTGATTGGGAACGGCTTTTCTGCCTCCCGGCTTCCTAGAAACCAGCTTAGAGGAAGCTGCAGCCAGTCATTCTCCAGGGAGCTTTCTGAGAAGTGTGGCCTGCAAAGTTCTGAAGTGCACTGGGGAATTCTGTTGTTCTCTTTAAATACATTAAAAAAAAATAAAAAAAAAAATCTCCAGAGCTCTTCAGTACTCTGCAGGCTGTTTCTTGGTCAGCCGCGCTTTTTGGAAAGCTCCCTGAACATTGACTTGCTGTGGCTTTCTCTAAGTAGGCTTGAAGCTATTATAAAAATTGGTTATAAGCAAGAATAGACAGCAGTCAGCCACCTAATGAGTGCAATAAGACCTGCAACAGCAGTTGGTAGGTACTTCACTGTGCTGTCAGCTTCTGCCTTCAGGTATTTGGGCCTCAAGCTATTTAGTGCTTTATAGGTGAGCAGGATCAGCTCCTTGAATCTGGTGTCAGAGGCAAATCTCCTTATCAAACCATAGAGAAGGTGCAGGAGAATGGGAGATAGGCTTCCTGTTTCAGCTCGTGTTATCATGGCTGAAAGGTCTTGAAATTTGGGCAGGGGAGGGGCAGGGATTGAACTTGGAGCTACAGTGGTGCCTCGCAAGACGAAATTAATCCGTTCCGCGAGTCTCTTCGTCTTGCAGTTTTTTCATCTTGCGAAGCACGGCTATTAGCGGCTTAGCGGCTATTAGTGGCTTAGCGGCTATTAACGGCTTAGCGGCTTAGCGGCTATTAACGGCTTAGCGGCTTTAAGAAAAAGGAAACAAACTCGCAAGAACTCGCAAGACGTTTCGTCTTGCGAAGCAAGCCCATAGGGAAATTCGTCTTGCGGAACGACTCAAAAAACGGAAAACTCTTTCGTCTTGCGCGTTTTTCGTCTTGCGAGGCATTCGTCTTGCGAGGCACCACTGTATATAATATTGTCGCAATATTTGCATGCTTAAAGTGGCACAACATGTCCCTCTAGAGTCTAGACCATGGGTAGGCAAACTAAGGCCCGGGGGCCAGATCCAGCCCAATCGCCTTCTCAATCCGGCCTGCAGACGGTCTGGGAATCAGCATGTTTTTACATGAGTAGAATGTGTCCTTTTATTTAAAATGCATTTCTGGGTTATTTGTGGGGCATAGGAATTCATTCATTTTTTTCCCCTTCAAAATATATTCCGGCCCCCCACAAGGTCTGAGGGACAGTGGACTGGCCCCCTGCTGAAAAAGTTTGCTGACCTCTGCTCTAGATGACTGAGCAAAATTGTGAATTAAAACAAAAACAAAAAGCTGCTCTGTCCTCTTGTCCTGTACTCCCTACAAAGATCTGAGGAACGAGATCTTCATCCCACTCGTACTAACCATCCCAGGGCGCTGAACCACTGCCACAATGTCCTTTCTTCTATCAGATCAAAATGAGCAGATAACAGCAAAGGTGGCTAGGTTCATAGCAGGGGCAATCAGAATAAGGGCCACTAACTGACTGCTGATTCAGGACTTTAAATTCTGCTTTTATATCAAATTTCCTTTTCTGCGTATACTGTAATGTTTTACTGTTGCTATGGCCATTGACTAATGAAAAGAAAGTTTTATCTCTCTATTTCTAAGCTGCTCTGAGCTGCTTTCTGTGCTGAAATGGTCCGCTACCTTGCTCAGTCATAGTGACCACAAAGCTTTTCAGCTAATCCATAGTACCTCTTTTCTGAGGAAAGACAGAGAGAGATGATTGCAAAGCAAAGTTCTATGGATGTAGAACTTTAAGGGAGCCATACTAGACCTAACTTCTTCTTTTTTTACAGTTGAAAATAAGGACATAAATATGTAGGTTGTGTGGCCCACAGTTCCAGCCACAACCATTTTTTTCTTCCAAGAAACAGAGTAATGGGATAAAGGGGATATTAAAAGTGGCTTCTTTTGAGAAACGCCATAAGGTAAAGATTAAATGACAATGAGCACTTGAACATTGTGGGTGCTGTTTGTGGGATCCCACGTGGTGCTTCAGTTCCCAGGGAGCTTACTGGCAAACAAGGGGTGGTTGCCTCTCACTGTTAATTTTTGGAGGTTCACGCCCAGCCTCAGTAACCAAATTTCTTGCTGGGAGGTGAGGCCAGCCCCATCTATAAATAGGGGGTGGAGCTGATAATAGCCAGGCAGTCAGCTCTGGAGATTCACCCTCCCTCCCTTTGCTTAATGTTTCTTGTTTACAGGTTAACTTTTTCTTCCTGTTTAGCAGGTGCCTATTTAGCAGGCGCTGCTACAGTCTTTGACTGGTTGCTGTTGAAGGACCGGGAAGAAATTTTCCTGCATTGACAGGTTTTGTTTTCCCTGTAGCAATTCGTCACAACTTTGGCAGTTATGGCCTTGGGTGGAATCCTTTAGTCTTTTCTTCCCTATATGGAGTGGGCGGGCATGAACTGGTGACTCACTCCCCTGTGGTGGCGATTCCAGGGTCCTCCTCTTAAAGGGGTTATGTATGTGGGTGTCACTGGCCATACACCAATAGGTCACCAGTTAGGACTTGTTAGGAGACCCATATTCTCCTCACAGATCAACAGTCCCAGTGTGGTAAGAATTGCAGCTCTGTCTCTCACAAACTCTCAGCATCCTTAACAATCTACCGTTCTCGTGGCATGTTGGGAAACTTGAGCCTTAACGACTTTGGTTTCAGAAATTAAAACTTTTTAGACATCCCAGGAACAAATATTGTTTAAAATAAAGTATCTTTGAACCTGGGCAGAGTGTATTTAATGACATCTAGCTTAAACCAAAGACAAAACAGGAATTAAATAGACTTTCATAGTAAAATATATTAGAACATTTGTGGAGGACACCCACCCCACCCCCTCAAAAGAATAATCCCAAGGCAACTAGGAGGATGTCATAGAAGAAAAGGATGAAGGAATCTCAAGACTATATGCAAAATGCCTTGATTTCAGTAGTTCTCACATATCACATTAGGCAAGATGGAAGGATTATTTCCAAGCAGATGGTGGGAAATCATGGAATCTGAGTTCTGGCACGTTTCCTTATATATATTATACACAGCATAACAGAAGCCTGGAATTAGAAGGTGTGCATGTGTAAAAGCCACCCAGAAAACAACCAAAGTCACCTTCTGTCTGCCATTAAGAATGCCATACAGTATTCTGAAAATATATTCAATTCCCATTCATAGCATAATGGAAGGCAAAAATATGTGAATATGAACTAATAGCAAAGCTTACCTGTTATATAAAAGTGGAAATGAAAGGCAGAAGTTTAATCAGTTTGCACGGTATTGATTATTGGAACAGGAGGCTCATTCGTCAGATGGTTGTGGCTAATTATTTGACTCTTTATGACTCCTTAAGAATATATGAAGAGCCCAACTTATGGAATATGCAGAAATGGCAAAACTTATTGGAAAAATGAGAAATCAAGATAACAAACTTTTTATAAAAGAATGGAAATGGTTTATTGAATATCTACAAACAAACTGTAAACAGATAAGAACATTGGCAGGATTGTTGTAATAACCTGCAGTTTTATAGGGGTATATATTTAAAGCAGATGAATAAATGAGTAAGTTAAGTTAATTAAGAATATGTAGGAAATGTAAAAAAATTAATTTAAGGAACCGCCAAAAGCGGAGGAAGGAAGTCAAGTTTTGAAATGTTAGATTGATTGTAAAACTATTGAAATGTATATAATTGAAAATAATATATGTGTGTGTGAGGAGCCAAGCTGATTCAGGCCAGTGGCCCATCTAGAACACCATATTGTCTTCACATTAGCCAGCCTATGTGAGAATCCTACAAGCAGGACCTGAGAACAACTGCTCAGATTTGTTGTTTAGTCGTTTAGTTGTGTCCGACTCTTCGTGACCCCATGGACCAGAGCACGCCAGGCACTCCTGTCTTCCACTGCCTCCCACAGTTTGGTCAAACTCATGCTGGTAGCTTCGAGAACACTGTCCAACCATCTCGTCCTCTGTCGTCCCCTTCTCCTTGTGCCCTCCATCTTTCCCAACATCAGGGTCTTTTCCAGGGAGTCTTCTCTTCTCATGAGGTGGCCAAAGTATTGGAGCCTCAGCTTCACGATCTGTACTTCCAGTGAGCACTCAGGGCTGATTTCCTTAAGAATGGAGAGGTTTGATCTTCTTGCACTCCATGGGACTCTCAAGAGCATGCACATATTTAGAGGGAGTTAAAACTTTTTAATCGGGCTTTTGAGCCAGCATGCACATATTTAGAGGGAGTTAAAACTTTTTAATTGGGCTTTTGAGCCCTCCTATATACTTTAGCTTGCATAAGTTTTGTCATTTTACTATACCCTGTTAAATTGTTTTATTTATCTGTTTTCAAAATAGTTTTACAACAGTGCCTACATACAACTAAAAAACAGCAGGAGGAAATCAGGAGCAAGTCAACAACACAGCAGGAACATCATCATCAGCTACATTAAACAACAACAGCTAACAGTCCAGGCATCAGAGTCCACTATGTTTAGTATGAATTGCTTTAATCTTTTTAAAGGATGAAACGTGGGATATGGATAACTTTGAATAGATGGTTTGGTAGATATCTACTATGTAGAGAAGGCTATAATATTGGATACAATAGCACAGTTGTAAAGTAGCATATACGTGTATGTACTTTCCTTCTCCTCTTCATGCCTTATATAATATGAAGTTGAAATGTAATATTTCAATTGTTCCTTTAAAAATAATAATCATAAATTCAGTCTTTGCCACTGCATGTCTCCTGGAGGACCTGCAATTCTAGCCTGCACTTTCCACAAGCCAAGGAATTCGGTACAGAGAAACAACATCACAGCCAAAGATCCTACTGGTTGCCATGAAGTGGCTGAGCTCCACCTTGACAGATGGATGCACCCAGGATTGGTGGCGAGCATATGTGCTGCTGTGAACTACATATATGGGGGCGAGGTGGTGTTATCCTGGCCATATCCACCCACAAGTTCAGTCTTTTCTTTGGTCAATTGATAGATTTCCTGTACCAAGCATTAAGCTTCCTGGCATGAACACACACATACACCACCTGCACACCACACAGAGCGCTTTAAAAATAATGTTCCATTGCTGAATAGGATAGTTAAAAAGGAGATTCAACCTACCAGCACACAAGAAGGGAGGGAGAATAGAAAATGCCATTTTCTCTGTTGATAGACAAACATTCAGTTGGCGACTAGAAAAGAGAACTGTCTGTGTATTTAATGAGATGTAGGGGAAGTTTGTCAATAGGTTTTTTAAAAAGAGGGAAAATTATTTCAACCTGCTGGATTGCCCAGATGATATTCTGCCTTGGGAAATGGACTGAGGAAACTGCATCCTTGGGAATATGGGGCTCAGCCCCAGTAACATTATGCTCTTAACTGGCCTAAGCCTGGTTAGAGGAAGCCCAGGCTGATGACAAAGTAAATCTCTTTTCTGGCTACCTATATCTGGGGGTGGGGGGGAGGGTTTTCAATGCCCTCAGTGGCAGAGCTCCTCAGTTAATTAGGCTATGAGCATGACAGGTGCATCTCTGTGCTGCTGGTCTGCATTGGACCATTGAAACTGGATATGACACAAAGCTGATGACATATAGCTCTTGTGCCTTATGGGTGACACCACACTCAGCTCTTCCTTCTTTTAAATGTTCCAGAGAAGGCTGTAGCATGATATAGCAGTGCTTCAAGATGCATTGAGTGCAAACTTTCTTCACTGCCCCATTCAGACCAACCAGAATCCCTGGGGAAACTGGCGGATGTAAATCAAGCAAGGGGAAGCTGCCCCATGGTCCATTCCTCTAACAGCATTTTGATTGTGAAATCCTTGCTGTTGACCTGAACATCCTAGGCTGTCACCCAAAATGCTAACCCACCCAGTCGACCTTTCAGTGTGCACACTGAGCATCACCAAATGGTCCACTGGCACATGCTACTCTTGGTGGTTAACCTTGAGCTAAAGGCCTAGTTCATGGGTAGGCAAACTAAGGCCTGGGGCCTGGATCCAGCCCAATCGCCTTCTAAATCTGGCCCGCGGACAACCCGGGAATCAGCATGTTTTTACATGAGTAGAATGTGTCCTTTTATTTAAAATGCATCTTGGGTTATTTGTGGGACATAGGAATTGGTTCATTTCACCCCCCAAAAATATAGTCCGGCCCCCCACAAGGTCTGAGGGACAGTGGACTGGCCCCCTGCTGAAAAAAGTTTGCCGACCCCTGGCCTAGTTGTACAGTGGGCAGGGGTCACAAATCCTGTGAAGCCTCTGTCTAGGAACTTGAGGAATGTTATCCCTTTTGTGAAGTGTTCTTGACTGCATAACTAAGTCAAGCTACCTAGTCAAACTGACCAGTTGCTATCCATATTTGTGTGCTTACTCCCCCTCAATTCCATATTCTTATTCCCCTCTCTTTTCTCCTTTGTTCTGGCTGACAGGATAGCATTGAAATAAAATTCACCCTCCTACTTTCCTTGCTAGCTGAGAGTAAGTGGGAACTCAGTGGAATAGAAGTGTCCTCAAAAGGAATGTCAACATGCTTTGCAGCTGCATAGAAACCCTCAACTTCATCTTTTTCTGGATTGCGGCCTCAAGACCAAATGAAGCCATTTTATGAGACCCTATCACAAGCCGCAGCCCCTCTCCCACTCATAAGTTTTCCAATATATCAAGTTAAAACAGCTTTGTGTGGCAAGTAATGTGAGCTGAGGAAGGCCTTTCAAACATTTACAAAACGTATCGGGTTGCAATGAGAACAAAAAACCCCACACGCTTTGGTGTAAATTACTTAAATGGAACTTTTCATCATCCCAGAATTCTGATACATTGGTTCACAATGAAGGCAGGCCTCTCAAAAGGACCGTAACAACAAAAGCACTTACTGTCACAGTAGGTAAAGCTGTGTGATTGCTAGGAGAAGAAAGAGAAATTAGCTCCCATTGTAATTGGATTACTTGTCGATATTGCTCGCTCTCTGCGAAGAAGTGGGAGTAGGATCTACCTGTGCTGTATTATGACAAACTTGTGTTTATGAATTTGTTGTAGTAACTGTACTTATGGATGAGTGGACTGCCCTATTCCACTCCTCTATTGTTCCTTTTGTTTCGCCTGCACCGTGTTCCCCCTCTTATGTATTCCAATTAACCATGCAAATATCCAATATTATTTCTAAAATTAAAAGATGTGCCATTTGCTGCAGCTTGTGGAACCTTCAGTTCATTTTCACTGTTTTTTCCCCTCGCCTCTTATGGTGCTGAAATGAAAGTTGATAAAACACCTCCAAATAGTTCTCTTGATATTATTGTGATCATTTTCAGGGATAACCAAATAGTACAATTCTATTCTGGGATTGTTCTGGGACTCTGACATCCAGTTAATTCTATCCTGATTACGCATGAGGAAGAAATGCCTTTTAGTCCACTTAGAAATAAACTTATCTCGTTTGCCCTTTCCAAAAAAATATGTGAACCGAAACAGAGGCATTTTTTCAAAATTCGCACATCTCAGAATTTTGCAGTGCAGTTCTCCAGGAAAGTAATGTGTACAACCATGCATGTAATGTGCTAAACTATGCATAGAAATGCATATATGAGGGGAAAATAATATTTATATAAATGATATTGGGGAAAATACTTTACAAAAGGGTATATATTAGGCATAAATGCATACAAACATGTATATTAGGAGAAATTCTCTGAATTTTTATGATTACTCTTTTTAAAAAAGTAAACTGATGTGGAAATGTACAGAACTAATCTTAATATTGGGGGGAAATGATAAATGGAAAGATAACAAAATGGAAAGATTTGTCCAATTCTAGGATAGGTTCTGTCTCCTGAGAAATCTCTATGTGGGACAAGAAGCTACAGTTAGACCTGGATATGGAACAACTGATTGGTTCAAAATTGGGAAAGGAGTACGACAAGGCTGTATATTGTCTCCCTGCTTATTTAACTTATATGCAGAATTCAACATGCAAAAAAGGCTGGGTTGGATGAATCCCAAGCTGGAATTAAGATTGCCAGAAGAAATATCAACAACTTCAGATATGCAGATGACACAACCTTGATGGCAGAAAGTGAGGAGGAATTAAAGAACCTTTTAATGAGGGTGAAAGAGGAGAGCACAAAATATGGTCTGAAGCTCAACATCAAAAAAACCAAGATCATGGCCACTGGTCCCATCACCTCCTGGCAAATAGAAGGGGAAGAAATGGAGGCAGTGACAGATTTTACCTGCCTGGGCTCCATGATCACTGCAGATGGTGACAAGCAGTCATGAAATTAAAAGACGCCTGCTTCTTGGGAGAAAAGCAATGACAAACCTAGACAGCATCTTAAAAAGCAGAGACATCACCTTGCCAACAAAAGTCCGTATAGTTGAAGCTATGGTTTTCCCAGTAGTGATGTTTGGAAGTGAGAGCTGGACCATAAAGAAGGCTGCTTTTGAATTATGGTGCTGGAGGAGACTCTTGAGAGTCCCATGGACTGCAAGAAGATCAAACGTATCCATTCTGAAGGAAATCAGCCCTGAGTGCTCACTGGAAGGACTGATCGTGAAGCTGAGGCTCCAATACTTTGGCCACCTCACGAGAAGAGAAGACTCCCTGGAAAAGACCCTGATGTTGGGAAAGATGGAGGGCACAAAGAAAAGGGGACGACAGAGGACGAGATGGTTGGATAGTGTTCTCGAAGCTACGAACATGAGTTTGACCAAACTGCAGGAGGCAGTGGAAGACAGGAGTGCCTGGCGTGCTCTGGTCCATGGGGTCATGAAGAGTCGGAGACGACTAAACGACTAAACAACAACAACATGATAGGTTCAGTTTTAAGAATGTTGTTGGCAGGACTGAGAGATTCAGCTGGTTGTAAGATCCCCCAACACTGCAGCGTTCCTACTTTCTGCACAGTCAGACTATGATTTTAGTGAGGGGGAAAGTGAGGAGCAAAATGACTGATTTTCCCTCAGCAGAAGTTACTGCTGCTGCCATGGTCAAAGCAGGGGTGTCCATCTAGTTGCCCTCCCACCCAACCACTTCCTTTTTCTGCTTCTGCTGCTCTCCATCTCTGCTGAAGGAAGGAAGCTTTTATTCTCTGCCATGCAATATCTCCTTCCTTCATGTGTCAAATATCATCTTGTTTTGTGCAGTTTCATTGGTTGGAAAGGGTTAACCCCTCTCCATCCAGAATGGCCCTGATCCTCTCTGTGGGGAGATGCCAGCAGCTGCTATCCACTGGGAAGCAGGAAAGTATACACACAACACAGGTGGTCACCAACCAAGTGCTACTTAAGGTGGACTCATTGAAATTAATGGGCTTGAATTACGTGTCTATTGATTTCAGTGAGTCTGAGTAGATCTACTAGTGAATATTACCTGAAGGTAACCTTCTTTGCCACTTGTGTGATATGGATTCGGGTAGCCGTTTTGCAAAGCTGAAATAAGAAGAGCAGAGATCACTTAGCACTATAAAAAGCACAATTTTCTCCTACACTGACGCATTCAGGTAAATAATGTGCAAAGTTACTCTGAGAGTATTTCCATTTCCACTCCTACGTAAGAGCACTTGCGATGGGGAAGCAACCATATCAGCCACTTATAATCAAAGCTCCAGCCTTCTGTATATTGGTTTTCAAAGATTGTGTTATAACTTTGCAGAACTGTACATCACAAGTGATGTACAGAGTAATAGGAAAGGACTTAGGCAAGAAATTTATTAGCAGCATCTTCTGCACCGTAACAATAATAAAAATCATAAACTGGAGGCATCAGTAAAAATACAATTGGCAATGAAACAGGAACGGGTCGTGCGTAAAACAATTGTAAAACAGAGAGAGATGAACTAATGTTAAGGTACTATGCTGCATGTTGAGTAAGTCCTCCTATGTTGCAAAATAATTTCAAAACAGATTCAGAGTAAATCACTTTCTCTGCTTGCAAAATAAGGGAAATTAACAGAGTTTTGTCTTCACTTTTGCAAAACCAGTGTAAGGAGACAGACTTTATGCTTTCAATGAGTCTTTGCTAACAGGTGAGAGAATATATAATGGCTGAACCAAGAAAAGGATTCAATTTGAATGATTCAGCTTGGTTTGAGTTATTACACATCTACAGAATATAATCTAAATTTAAGCCCTATTTATTTACAATAATACTCTATTGTATCATCCTATAGTACACTGACCTACCAAAGTAGTTATATCAGGTATCGGAAACCTGTGGCCCTCCATATGTTGTTGGACTTCAAATCCCATCAGCCCCAGCCAGCATGGCCAATGGTCAGAGATGATTGGAGCTGTAGTCCACCAACTATATTGCCCTCTGTCACCGGACATCTGATGAGTTCATAAACCACAATACCCTCTTTCTAGATGGTTACATTTGGGCTTGTAGTGCATTTATAGCAGACAGCAGACCAACGGTTCCATGTTTTGACAAGCTGCCATGTAGCAGCTCCAATGAAGCAGCCTTCACAAACCTGGTGGCCTCCAGATTTTCTGGACTACAACTCCCATCAGCCCCAGCCATTTGGAGGACGCTACTGTTCTGCTCTAGATAGCAAAACTCCCTAGTTCTATGCCTTTAATGTCCTACACAAACATCATGGGATATGTAGTTATTCAAACAAGCGTTTACAAGCAAAGCGAAGCAAAAAAACTTTCTGCAAATTTGACCTTCAGAACAATCTGGCCAATTACAGTAAATAAATTTATGGGTCAAAAATAGAAATGTTAAAAAATATCCTTCCAAAGCTGTTGCATCTCTGATGTTTTGTTACCTGTATTACATTTATTTTTAGACTGCATTTGCTTTCCCCACTTCTGCCTCGGTGTGTGACTCTGTGTGTAAGACATTTTTGTTTGAATGAATGAATGAACAGACACAATGGCCCTGTTATTAAAGACTTGTCCTATCTGAGCATTTTCTTCTGCTTTGCGATTGGCCAGTAAAAATAAAAGTGCCCTTTTATACAGTTGGCATTTGCAGTTCCATACAGCAATTTGGTACCAACTCATTACCTCAGATAACAACATAGACGATGACCATGCCCACTGATTCAGAAGCAAAGTAAAACAAGAGAGCCACATCTAACTGGATTAAATCATGGTTCCATTGAAGGGAATGTAAATACATCTTATTTTCTACCAGCTGGGGAAGATCTGGCACAGAGTTTTATACGGATGCACCTAAGCATTCCTACAAATTAAATGCTTCAGGCCAAACATCTCCAGTGCGTCCCCATTAAATCCTCGTATCATGCATAAAAGTAATAGCATTTCTGAAAAAGAGATTATGATGGGGGAAGGTATGTGATACAGCAGCCAATTTTACAGTTTTATCATTTTCATTCCCCTTTTTTTGCATTTGTATTTGATTCACACTATCTACACAACTTCCAAGAGATTTAAATGCCATGTTTTGATCGGGATTAATTTAACATGTTGGGGGTATATTGGGGATTCTCTAGCCTCAAGGTGTGGCACATTGGGGGCAAATTAGTGATACTGAAATTGGTCTCTTTTTTGCTAGCTTTTGTTCTTGCTCAGTTAGAAGGCGTTTATCCAAATCTCATTGAGACCTTTGCGAACATGCAGTGATTTGTGAGTGCTTTTGGGAGATCAATGAGATATGGGCACCATGTCCTGCAGATTGGGCTTGAACAATCTGTGACTCACCCAAGTGAATGCCACCCACCAACCATGTATTGTGACCTGCCAAGTATTGCAGTTTTTCTTTACCTTCCCAAGTCATTATTAAAAAATAGGGCTTCTTCAGCTTGGCGGATCACAACATGTGCTGACCTACAGCAGGTATTATTCACAACTGCACTGGAACTGAGGCTCTCACCCCAACATTGTTACAGT